GTTCTGTATAACAACATCTCACTATAACATCCAAAAATATTCAAAACAAACGAGGCTGTTATGGAGAGGTTTGATTGTATCTAAGATATGTACAATAGTTATATTATGTAAAATTTAGTGACTTTACCGTTATATATAGAGGGTAAAAGCTAATTACTTTAATGTCGCAAACAATGATTTTGTGACTTTACTGTTATAATGAGTATTCTTCAGTTGCCATATGTAACGGTAGGTCTTTCATTAGTTTCGGAGAAAAAATAAAAAAAGAATGTTGTATTGGTTGGATATTCAGAAGATTTTATGTTGTGCGCTGACAATATAATGAATTCAAAATAGTCTGGTCTTGTTGACACTAAAAGTTCAACATATATCAATTTTTATGTATGTGAGGCAAAGGAAACAGAAGCTTCAATCTTGAAAGGATAGTTAGATGGTCAAAATTCCAATTGGACAGCGCTTCTTCTTGCACTAATAATCCATTGGTTAAAAGGTTAGAATTTGAAATCATATGTACATCTATCGTTCAATTGTATCAACAGCAATGTATGTGAGGCAAAAAAGACAGAAGCTTGCTCTTCTATAGTGGCGGCAAAATGGTTAAAAGAAATAGTTATCCACCTATTTTATTCATTAAAAATCGGTTAGATAATGAATTTTTTGAAAACGGGTCAAATATAGAATACACTAAAAATTCTCTCAAAAGTGATCATATTCAAGAAGTCATGGATTATATGGATATCTATATCATCCACCGATTAACCCATTTTTTATCCGTATTAAATATGAGTTGGATCGGATAATTAAACCGTTTTGACCTGTTCATATATATATATATATACCCGACCCGCCCTTTTGCCACCCCTACGGTCTTCCACAAAAAATATAATGGTCATGAGGTTAAACTATAGTGTTACATCTAATGTTCAGTTAGATCCCATCTTCCTGTCTAACTATGTAAAAATAAAAAACAGATACTGATCCTCAATCAATAAGTTGATGAAATTTTGTGTTGTATGTAACAACAGATACTGGAGATTACAGCTACAACACAAGAGTCACAAGCTTTAGAAGAATTAATACATCAGTTCTGAGAAACCAACAACAACAACCCAGTATAATCCCATTTAGTGGGTTCTGGGAGGATAGTGTGTACGCAGACCCTCTCCAGACCCCACTAAATGAGATTATACTGAGTTGTTTTTGTTGGTTCCCGCTAAGTTCTGAGAAACCACTTGCAGAATAATCATAATCACAGCTATTTTACTTTTAATAAGGGGAATAGAACAAATTTCGATCAAACATTTACATAAGCTTACACAACCTCTTTCATAAGTTTAATGAAGCAATATCCCCAAAACTGTCCGGGATCTCCATAAGCTTACACAACCTCTTTCAAATATACAATGTTTCTTGAAATGTATAAATATTTGCAGGAGCAGCTTTCATCCCACTGAGCCTTGAGTCAAAGCATTAGAATTTCAAACCCAGATAGCGCATTTCTTCTGATTTATGCTACTAAAAAGATAGTTATTCCAATATTCATGCTGGAAATATAATCAAGCAGTGTCAAATTGATGGATCTGCAAAATTTACCCTTTGTGTTTGAGTAGCTCTTGGCATCTCCTCAGTCCATCACTAGGATCATGTGGATTTATGATAAAATCACTAACATTTTTACCTTTTCTTTATTCTGATTTATCTAAAAGGCGGATGTTTTTCCGAATGATCAAAGAAACTTCCAGCTACAATTAAAGAAATGAGTGGACAAAAGGTAAGTATTTAATATCTGATTGATTTTCGTTTTTCTCGTAATTTTGATTTATGTCACGGACTCACTGTACAAAATGCTTATTTGACATATCTGACAATTCTTATATCATAGATTGGTTAATATTGTAGGATCGCGTATCGGTGTTCTAAACATGCAACGGAAGATAAAAACAATCATAGGCAGAAATTTTCGTGTTTAAAAATTTATTTACATGTCAAAGATCGGATCTAAGACGTACCTTCTGAAGAGAGTCTCGTTTTTTAAATTTCTTCGATAGTGCGAAGACTCTATGCGTATCCACACCGAGACTGGTCCTTGCTATCAACTCCTTGATCAATGAAATCTCGTGAACAAATTGAATGAAAATATTGTGTTGAAATTTTTCTCAAAAATCTCAACTTAAAGATAGAAGAACAAGAAATAATTTTCTTGTACTAATATTTTCTATCTTGGTTTTATATTGCACTATTACTTTCTCAAAGTAATTTTTCTTCTCAAGAATGACTCTCTTGCTTTCTTTACAATATGTATAAGATCTATATGTCTCTTATTCTTAATTAGGACTCACACACACACACACACACACACACACATAAATTGAATTCTACAACTTAGTCAACATTTTAAAATAAAAACATGTAACTCATTTATGGAATTCAATTCTAAATTGAATTCTATAACTTAGTCAATACTTGAAAATAAAAATGTGTGACTCATTTATGGAATTCAATTCTAAATTGAATTCTACAACTTAGTCACCATTTTAAAATAAAAACATGTAACTCATTTATGGAATTCAATTCTAAATTGAATTCTACAACTTAGTCACCATTTTAAAATAAAAACATGTAACTCATTTACGGAATTCAATTCTACTTATTAATATTTTTCTATTAAAAAATTAACTCCCATAT